TAAAATGTAAAAAAAAAAAAAAACAATTTCAGTCCAAATTGTGCGCACCACAATTTCAATGTGACTCAAGTATCGCTCTAGTCACGGTCTTATTGGCAATTCAAATTATTTTGCTTGACCAAAATAAGTTATTTGTATCATTTATTTGCTTAAATCACATTAAAACATGAAGTTTGTACGAGCTCGAGCATTTTAAACGATTCGAGCGGCTCGTGAGCAACTCGCGAATGCTCGAGTCAACACTCAACTCTAACTCGAGCATGTAGTTTGCATATTCGGCAAGTCACTTGAATATGCGTAAAATTACCTGAATACTTCTAATTGTACATTTTTAATTTAAAATTTTGAGCCAAACTCAAAATTCAAGTGGGTTACATTCGAGCCAATCTCGAGTGTTCTTACTTTATTATTGTATCTTGTCATTATGTCTTGTTCCATGTAATTTTGGGAAAAGATAGAAAACACTATATATTATATCTCAGTTAAAATATTGCACAAAGAATGTGCAGAGCACAGCTAACTAGAGTCTCTACAATCATCTCTTATCAGTTGCAATTCAGGCAAACAAACAACAAACTATAAAAGATCATGTGAAAAAACAAGCAAAACAGCTTCTTCTATCTTTCCTAATCGACATGTAATCCCGAGTTCTCCCCTGATAAAAAGTTACATAAAATCCTATACGAACTTTAGTTTTTCTTCTTTTTTTATGGAAAAAAAAAATGAAGTAAAAAGCACGCTCGAAAACCGATCCCAACGAACTTTTTCTTCCCGAAAGCTCATTTGTATCTCCTCTTAGATTCTCCATACGCAATCACTCCCATCACAGTCATTGTATAACCGGCAATCCCAATAAATGTCACCGGATTTTGGAAAATGAGTATGGATATAACAACAGCCACGGCACCTTTCGCATTGCCTAATACCTAAAAAGTACAAAAAAAATAAAAAATAAATAAATAAATAAAAACGTATACAAAATACGAGCATGGTTGAACAAACATGAAAAAAAAGGTAACTTGCAAATTTGAAAGGATAGCCGGAGCATTTTTTTTATTAGATTGAACCACAGGGGTCTATTTACAATTATCCTAATTTACACAAGATTTCGTCAAAAAAAAAAGGAAAGAAAAGAAAAATGGCTCATTGATTTGGTAAGCCATCAGCAAGACAGATTAGGTAGCATGAAAAGAATAGAGTTTTGTTAATTGAAGGCTTACATTACAAGCCACATCTTATTATTGTACCATTTCGAATAGGATTTTTCATTTAAAACAAGACTGAAAAAGCAATATTTACTCCCAAAGTGCAAAACCGATTTTTAACCTGCGATTGTTATATTTTCTATTTTCTTGAATTTTCTGTGTGTGTGAAGGAGTGGAGAGAAAGGGACCTGAAGTGTTAAAGCACTTGTATGCTTAGTCACCAAGAAATTGCACAAATTTGCTCCGTAAGCCATAGTTGAATTAATCAAAAGAAGCATCCACATGTATTTATGTTCTTTTCCAAGTGAAACAACCAAATCCAATACATTCGGCTCCATTATAAGAGCAGCAGGTAGCAGAACTATAACAGCAATCGGGGACATATAAAGCATCAAATTCATCGAGTTCAACTTTTCCCTATAAAAAAACGAAGCGAAATGAAATTCATACTAAAATTTCCATTTTAAAATTCAGCTGAGGTTATATTATTTACCCATCGTTAGAAAGGAGGACCCCTTGAAGCACGGATTTGAAAGCTCGAGCTGCAGTTGCACCTATACACATGATAAATCCGTATAAATGGAAGCTCGGCTCACCCTGCAGTTAAGCATTAAAGAACACGTGTAAATCAAGAAACACAAAATTCAAATTTGCTAATTTTTTTTTTTAAAGTAAGGTAAATGGAGAATGCGGAAACAGAAAAACTGCATCTTTATAAATTTTATTATCACAAGAGATCAGAAAGCTTCAGATTCGATACAAAGAGAAAGCGAAACTAACTTAAAAAGTTAAGCAATAAGAACGTACATTTGTATGTGTAATGTGAAGTGAAAAACGTGCTGATGAACAAGATTTCAGACCCGATCATTATTTCTTAAACTGGCCACTGACAATACAGTGATGTGTCAAGAAATACGAAAAGCCCATCAATAAAAATTGTATCTTATCAGGTAAAAGCACAACGCCAGTTCTGTTACCCCAGTTATCACAATTAACCAGGTATGCGCCTTAAACACAAAATCAAAATATTGCCATTAAAACTCAGATCTTGCTCATAAATCACACTAAATCCTAAGAAAAACACATAAACTGAATTCCAGGAAACACAACTTTTCAATGAATCGAAACAAACCAAAATAAATGAAATCCACAATAAAAATCGAATCTTGTCAGTAAAAAACACACAAAAAAGAAAAAACAGGTATGTTCACTAAACACAGAAAGAAAAATTTCCCCATCCAAACTCAGATCTCACTTATATCAGTCATCAGGCATACAAATCCTAAGAAAACACACAAACTACATATTAAAAATCGAATCTTTCAACAAAATCAAAGACCAATTCAATTAAAATAACCGACCACCGTAATCTGATCCTAAACAAAATACGCAAAAAACTTCGTATTCTGATCCTTATATCTTAAACCGACCACTATCAACTCAGTAGTGTATTATAAATACAAAAACCCATCAATAAAAATCGTATCTTGTCAACTCAAAATACAAAGCCAGTTCTGATACCTTAGAATCAGAATCAACCAGGTATACCACTTAAACACAAAATGGAAATATTCCCATCTAAAACTCAGATCTTGCTCATAAAGCACACTAAATCATGAGAAAAACACACAAACTGCATTCAGAAAAACAGTCTTTCAATGAATCAAAACAAACCAAATTAACTGAAATCCACAATAAAAATCGAACCTTGTCAGGAAACACACACACACACACACACAAACCAGGTATGCTGACTAAACACATTATGGAAAATTCCCCATTAAAACTCAGATCTCGCTTATATCAGTCATCAACCGTACAAATCCTAACAAATCCACACAAACTACATATTAAAAATCGAATCTTTCAACAAAATCAAAGACAAAGTCCAAGAATAAATAACAATAAAAATAAAAATCTCACCCCACTGGCAATGACGACCCCAGCAACAACAGGAACAAGACAGGTGTACGTGGCCCAGGCCTCCCTCTTGCGGGTCATCAGGTACGCGAACATCGCCGTGAAAAACGGCGTCGTTGCGCCCACCGCCTGGTTGAAGGAAACGGGGAGGTAGCGGAGGGAGATGTTGCCGCCGACGACGGAGGCGCAGAAGACGACGCTGAGCGTGGCAATCCTCGCGAGCTGGGACCGGGATTTGATCCTCTGCAGCGGGGTCACCTTGAGGAAGACGACGGTGACGTAGCTGAGAGCGGCGCAGGCCGACATGTGGCACATCGTGAGGAAGATTGGGAAGGCGAAGCCATAGTTTGAGAGGAGGAACTTGTTGAGGAGGAGAACGCCGATGTTGGTCGAGTACCAGAGAATTATGAGGCAGGTGATAAAGATTGCGTTTTTATTTGGTGTGGGTGCACTGGGTGGTGAAGAAGACATTTTCTTGGTCTTCTCTTTGTTTTTTTGCTATTGTTATGAAAGACACAATTTTGGAGTGTGTGTGTGTTTGTTGTGTGTGTGTGTGTGTTTGGGTGTGTGTGCTCTGATAAGGAATTTTTTAAGTGCAGGTGGGAAGGTATTTGACATAATATAGTTTAACATAAAATGATTTTATGTGGAGTTTGATGGAAAGAAGAATAAAAGAAAAGGAAAAAGGGGGTTGAGTTTGAGTAAAGTTGTTTTAAGCAATTAATTTGTGAACTTTGAGTGAGAGTGTTGTAACTGTAGTATTATACCAATTCATGTGTACTTTGAGTGTCTGTGGTGATGTTAATTTAATTAATTTGAGGGTAAGCTATAGGACAACATTAATAATGAATCAACATTTTGGAGTTTTAAAGAAAATATTAAGTTATTTACTATTAAAAGTAATATAACAAAAATAAATTGTTAGACTCCTATTAGACGAGGTAGCGATTGTAAAATCATACGTATGTACAAATTCTAAATTAAATTTCATACTTCAAAAAATAATGTAAACAAAATTATGATACCTCATTGTATAATTAAATATTTATTTTGATATCACAATAAAAAGAAAGGTATGATACTCCAAGTTATATTTTTTATTAGAATAAATATGACGGCCGATTCAAATGACAGCTAAATCACGTGTGATTTTCAAAAAATTAGTTAAAAAAAAATGACATTGTAGGACAATGGTCAATCTTTTTCATTGCCATTGGATTAGAAGATTGGGCAAGTGATATGCTAAATATTTCTATGCGAAAAGAATCCACATTAAATTGTCAGTACACAAAAATTATTATGATTTTTCTAACTTCGTTGAAATTAGTTAAAATTTAAATTTGGCAAACAAGGAACTAAAGTTTAAAATAAAATCCCCTTTTATCTTAACTCCAAATTGGTCAAAATTTCAAAATAAAATAAGCCATTCATTGGGTAAACTTTTTTGACTAAGCTGCCATATGATATTTCTAATCTCCACAAGACTGATTTTCTTTTCATTTTAAGGTCTACAAATCAAGTAATAATTTGAATTTTAAGAGCTACATATAGATTAATAATAATGGCTTAGAGATATCATGATAACCCATAAAAGATTCTCAAAGGCCATCATGGTGTTAAAAGATTGAAAAATTTAGTGTGTATTTTTTAAAAAAATTGTAAGTGACATTTTAAGATCTTTTAAGTTTTTTAGATTTATAAGTAATTTTATAAAATCTTAAGTGATGTGAGATTTATAGTGAAATTTAATATATATATATTTATTTTAAAATTTCAACAAATCTTAAAAAGTTTTAATAAATTTCAATCTCAAATAAGTTAAATACCTCACAATTTTGTAAGATTTTTTACAAATTTCGAATGAATATCTCGATATTTTTAAAAGTTTTAAAAATATAAATTAAATATACCAATATTGATGAAGTATTAAAAAGTCTTTATAAATCTAAAATGAATGCACTCCACCCATTTAGAGTATACACAATTTCACCATAATAATTCAATAGGTTCGTATGAGGTCAAAGATTTCAAATCCTATGTATTTATTTACTAATTAGCAGCTAGTGGATAATTTGTGTGATAAACATCAAATTTTTGTTCTTTAACTGTGTAAAGTTTTATTAATCACTTTTTATCACTCATATAATTACCCCACATGGCAATGAAACAATGTTTTCCTTTTTNTTGTTCGGATCAAGTTTGAATTATGTAAAAAATAAACAGTCTAATATGACATAACGACAAGATACAATAAAGCTAATGTTAATGGTCAGTTAACATATGTATACTTACAAACTTTAACATCATACTTTAAAAAGAACAACATAATATAATAAAAATAGGCATTTTTATTACAAATTCATAATAGGTGAGGGAATAGTAAAAATACGAATAATGAATGTAAATTTAATAGATAACTTTAATTTTAAGACTCCTAAAATAAAATGTTACCACTTACCACAATAAAGAGTTAAATTAAAGTAATTACTTAAAGTGCATTAAATTTATGTGATCTAATTATATGCCTTAATCGCAACACAACAAGAAGTATAAACCTACAATGTCTTTGGTGAGTACAATAATTTAGCTTATAAGTTTCATGTATTTCAAATAAGTTTAGTTTGGTATAAAGATTTTTTTTAATTAATATTAAGTATACATCATAAGTTTCATTGCGTAGCTTTTCAAATAAGTCCGTTCATTTTTTTATTTTAGCTGTCTTAACAGTTAATTTTATCAAACACTTTTATTTTATCAGTTAATTTTTCAAGCATCGCCCATAACTTGTTAGTTATAAGCTCAAAGCCTTTTTATAACGTATCAATTAACTTATTAACTAAGGTTATCAAACATAGGCTTAATATTTATCCTTAAATAACTATGCAAATGCAAATAATGTTGTTGAGTGTCGAGTCGGACCTAAGGCTGCAAACGAGTCGAGTCGAGCATAGATCGATTTTTTTTTCATTGCTCGAGCTCGACAATACATGAAAATGACGCTTTAGATCGACTCGTGAAACAAATGAAAATGCTCGAGATCGACTCGATGTTCGAGATTGGTTCGATGTTCGAGATTGACTCGAGTTTGGCTCGAATTTTAATAAATATAAATTATGCACCTATGAACTTTGTGAATTCATACGTATAAAGGGTATTAAAGTATTTTACCGCATATATCGACTCGTTTGCAGTTCTAGTCGGACCACCTCAAAGGCTCAAACCTGAACTTTGTGTTTCTACCCTCAACGTTTTTAGGCCCATAATATTGGGCGATTAGGAAGGCCTATAATAGGTTCCTCTCGGGTCAAATGCGTCGAGTTGGCGGCCTACCTCAATTCCGAACTTCGTTGTTTTCCCTCAACGTATTTGGGCCCGCAGTAAGCCCATGATACACTCCTCTCGGGTCAAATATGTGTTGGAAGAAAAAATAATGAAAATGAAGAGAGGAGGTCGGATCGTTACAGTGATCATTTAAATACCATTTTGGTCATTTTGAATTATTTCAATTTAACTTCATAAAATTTCTGTTTCAACTTGAAACCCATAGGCCAAAATACCTATTCTTACTTTTTTATTTAAATTTATTTTTTCAACATTTTTTTTTATTAATATCATGTTCAAAACTTAATATTAGTATCTTGTATTATTTTAGTTTTAATCAAAGTATTATTTAAATCGGTTATATATATATATCATTTAGTACATAATACAAAGTAAATAGTATTTATTAAAATTGGTAAAATATGTCGTACAGCTAATTGAACTGCATACCCATGACTTGTTCTATTTAGAGTGTGTTTCGTAAACAAAATAAACTAGCTCATGTCTTATTTGATTAACTCATAAGCTTTATGTAAACATTAAATAAATAAGTTTGGTTTGATATGGCGAGCATTCTTAAAAAAACTCGAACTTACCTCATAATCTTATTTGCTTAGATTTTTAAATAAACTTGTTTAAATTTTTATTTCAGCTTGCGTATCGCTAATTTTTAAGAAACACTTTTATCATATTAGTTAATTTTTCAGCCATAAGTCATAATTAAGCTTTCAGCTATAAGTTCGAAATCCACTCATAAGTTATCAACTAACTTATCAGTTATCATATAGCTTATGAACTTGTTTTATCAAACATAATCTTAACTAGTCATATGGTATTTTAAACATTAAAAACACCTTAAGATTTATCAAATAAAAATAAAAATAAATCTAGAAAATATTATGGACTATGAGCAAATAAATATCAACCGACTTATATAATAAATATGCAAGAAAGAGAAACCAACCTCTTTGTCATCTGGAATTGGAATGTGACTAATGGCTTTTTATAACAATTTAGATCTTTTGACCCGTCGAAGTCATAATTAAGTTGAGATTTAGGTTAGGTTGCATTATACTTCAGACTTCAGTGTTCCATGGGGGACCATGCTATTTTATTTATTTATTTATAATTTATTAATTTTCAAAGTCTTGTTTCCTTTGTGATACTAAAAGATTATATCCTATATTTAGGATTAGTTGTGACCTATATTTCATTTATTTAGTTAAATTGTCTTAGTCACTTTCCATTCGTTAATTATGGTATCTATAGTAATATAAAGAGGTTGTTGGAAAAATACAAAAATAGTAAAGTTGAGCTAAAAAATAATGTTTTGACTTACTATTAATGGAAAGTTATAAAAAATACATGTGAATCTTTAGTAACAACATCTGAATCCTATTTTTTTGGTAACTAATTTGGAGATTCTTATGACAAAATTTGAATTCTATTTTTTTCGTATTATATTTTATTTTTTTTACTAATATTTAAATCATATATTTTTTGGTTACAAATTTGGAGATTCTTGTGCAAAAAATGTGTCAATTATTTATAAAAAAAATTCTAAATACAAATTAACTTAAAAACCGTACAAATTGGATACAAATTTTGGAAACAAATAGTTGTATAATTCTTAATTAATTCTTCTAATCTTATTGAATAATATTTTTCTTCAAAAAAAAGTGAGTAAATTGGATAAAACCACGTGCAATTTTTATTTTAGAATAAAACTGATATTTGGATGGGATGTAAATTCAAAATTGTGTCCATATTTTTTGATAACAAAAGTTGTTCATTTGATATATAAAAATTAAAAAAATCTTAAAATATCCTTAAATATTTAACTTATTTGAGATTAAGATTTGTTAGGTCTTTAGTTATGATTTAAAAGAAAAAAAAATTATACAAAATTTCACTCTAATCTCACATTCACACTTAAGATTTCATAGTATTCCTCTAAAATTTGATCATCTTAAAAGTCTCAAATCTTAAAAAATCTCAGAGTGACACTCAAAATTCTAAACGAATACATATTATACATATTATTTACCCGTGCATCGCACGGGCCACATACTAGTTATAAGAAATCACATGGCACATAATTCCAATTCACACCAACCTTTCTATGAATCATGGGTTTTATTAAGTACTTTAAGTTATTAACTATTGTTATAACTTAGTCATTATGACAAAATATTTCATACAACGGGCTAATTACTAGACAATTCGATTCGTCACTCTAAAAAAATGTATACTCATATTATGAAATGTTTACTTTTATTTGTGTTATTTATTACTATTAGGTTGAGCTAACATTCGAAAACTTGAAAGTATACTATTGTTGAAAACCATAACTCACAAATTTCTTAGTAAATTTAGGAAAAATAAGTTTATCTCATTAATCGAACACGTAATTGGAGGGCATATTTTTTAATACACTTATGATGGGTAGATGAACGATTTCGTATTGGGTGTTACGATTCATATTTGTGCATTTTCTTTTTACTATAAGTTTTCAATGAAATAATCACTTTTTTTAACGTAGTAGAATATGATGTAACTTTAATTTTACGAACAACCAATGCAGTCATTGAGATTTTTACTTAACGTATCCGCGTCGATGTTGATCAAACGGTAAAAAATTCAGTTTTTTTTTTTTTGGCCCACCGGCCCAATGAATCCCAATAAGTGGGTCCCTTTCTTCCTAAAAGCTGGGATTTACTAACGCGACTTTTGATGTAATGTAAACGTATATTTGTATTCACATATTTCGCTTCGCAACTTTCTATACCTCTGCCGTCATCTCCATCATCGTCCTCGTTCTCTACGGTAACACCGCCTGCTGACATCATTTGCAGTCTTTTCAGGCAATCCGTAGAGTAAGTAGCTCCGTTTTTTTTCGCCGGTAAAACTTTCAATTCCTGACGTTTTGTTGTTTGTTGAAGCAAGTTTTGTTCTTGGCTATAACGATTTCAGCTCGTTTGTTAATGTCAGCTTGTTTTGTTTAGCTCTATAAAATAAAATATAATCATTCGGTGATTTTTTTTTTCGAGGTATTCATGCGTGGTTGGGGTGAGTGTTTTTTGTTTGATGGATTATGCTTTTGATGCGAAATGTTGGTGACGAATCGTATTTCAATGTCGGTACAGTCTCTAAAGCGCACGGTACAACAGGGGTTGATTGAAAAATTTGTGGTTCAGGAATTTGAGGCTTGATGTCGTTTTTTTCACTGATTTGAAAATGAAAAATGATGTCAAAATAAACTCATGTTAGTGTTGCTTAGAATTTCAAGTTTTGAATTTTTCATGCTACTGTTGCTTAGGATTTCAAATTTGAATATTTTTTCACTGGTGTTTTTTTTGTACTCGAAACGTGGTTATTGAGTTGTTTCTTGCACAGTTAAGTTTAACTCTATATGCTTGCTATTTCCTTGGTAATCTTGATCTTTTTCACCTGAAAAAAAATAGAACTCTTGTTTCATTCGAGAGGGCTCTGGTTTTAGCTGTAATAAATTGCCTTATCCATACTTGAATTTGTGGGTGATTTATGTGAGTGTGCTTTGTTTGATGGATTGTGGTTCGTATCATATTTCAATGTCGGTACAGTCTCTGAAGTGCATGGTACAACATGGCATGATTGAGATTTTGCATTTCAGGATTTGAGGGTTGATGTCGTTTTTCACAGGTTTGAAAATGATTTTAATATGCTTGTGTTAGTGTTGTTTAGGTTTTCAAGTTTGGATTTTTCACTGGTGTTTTATTGTGTTTATGTTCATGTGCTTGTGTTGATGATTTTTAGTTTGGATTTTTCGTTGGGGTTCGATTGTGTTTGATGTGTGATTATTGATCAGCTTCTTGCACGCTTAAGATTGAGCTCTTTGCTAGCTATTCCCTTGATAACCTTGTTATATTTTCACCTGAAACACATTTTCCTGGTCTGCTATAGCATCGGAAAATCGTATTCATTTTTAATCCGAGAGGAATCTGGTTTTAGTGAAGGATGCAAGACAATGGGGAAAAAAGCTGAAAAATTGTTAGATATTGTCAAATAATGCAAATGAACCTAGCTAAATTTGAATTGCCATTTCCTATGCTATCCGGTTTGACAAAATTGAAGAAAATGGACCCACATCAAGTTTCTATAATGTCTTGATTTATGATCGTCATATGTACGTGGAATACATAGGCTTCCTCATCTTTTATTTGCTTCAATTGATACTGCTAAATGTACATATTTTTTTATATTTAAGTGATGGAACATTTGCGGTTAATGTGATTTTACAGGGCAGATGGGTTACGATTATGGAGATAATCAGACGTGCAACTATTATTTCGGTTTTGGGCGTGGTGAGTTAGATTAAAAATTCCGGTCTTTGCTTTAGTTATTTCTCGATTTTACTAAACCAGTTCTTATATATGTTTTTAACAAGATGTGGTAGAAGAAGATATCTTGAACGAGAAATCTTGCGTACAAGTCCTTAGAATATGGATTGACAAAGCAGATGACGAAATCAAGAAACTTGAAGAAGATATAATAATGATTAAATGTCAACAACAGTTGTGGCATGACGAGGACTGGTCAAGAACTTGCTCTGCTGCTTTGAGAGAAAAAATCGATCATCTCAATATTTTGATAGAGAGCGGAAAGAGGGAAATCACCGAGGACTTGTCTAGTTTGGAATTTCAAATAAAACAACCTGAGAATGTTGCTGAGAGGCTGTGTGATTTGGTGAAGCCTCTGCTGGAAAATCACTTGTTGGGAAAAAGTAAGAAGGTAAAGCTTTATTAGCATTCTTATTAGTGTTAATTGTTAAATAATGTCCTTATTTATTACAGAATTTGCTTGTAGATTATATTGATATAGATCATTGAATTTGATTGGATACAAATTTATCTAAGAAAATCCAATCATTTTTTAACCAATTACTTCTTTTTAACTCAAATCTAACTCAACTTTAACTCAATCACACTATCTTCAATATTATCAATATAATTAAATAATATCATTAAATCATTCTTATACATATTACATCAACTTTATTCACCGTTCATCTACTTACATAATTTTAACTAACCACCACTTCACATCATCTATCTCATACTTTTACATCAAATCAAGTTTAATTATTTTATTTTAAATATTATTTTAATATAAAACTCAAAATCTCACTAACAACTAACTATACCACTTTTTCTCAACTTAACCATACCAAACCAAAGAATTCAAACAAAATCAAAATATTTTATAACTTTTGTCAGGCACGAGTTGAACTGCTGGGCTCGGATCGTGAGGAACATCATACAACAACTCAATCTTCATTTAAGATACAAGAAAATGTGTTCGGCAAAAATGTGGTCCCCACAAAGCCATCGGCAGACACTTTGAATGATAACAACCGTGCCAAGACATTATCCATTTTCAGACATGGGCCACAAAAGAAATGTAAGGCGGCTCAAAAAACCGAGTCATCGTGTGCAGAAAATTCCACCGGACACGAAAACTTTAGAGTTCGGAAAAAGGAAAGCACGGTTAATGATGCTACCTCAGATTGCGCGGTTGAGAAATTTGATGAGAAGAAAGATTTGTTGCTACCTATTAAGGATACTGAGAGGTTAAAGCTCAATGATCTCAAGATTATTGCCAAGAACCAAAAGCTGCCTGGATATTATAAACTCCGAAAGAAGGAGCTTCTAGAACGTCTCGGCTTGGAGGGACCCACGTGCTTACAGTAATCTCCCTCCTTCTCTCTCTCTCCCTGCCTCTCTCTCTCTCTCTCTCTCTCTCTCTCTCTCTCTCACTTGAATGTGTTTTTGAAGGAAAAATGCAAATGAAAAGAAGAGGATATCACCAGCAAATACAGTATAAGCTGAGGTTCGATAATTTTTGACTGAATACAAAACAGACTTGAGGGAAGTAGTATCAAGTGAGTGACTGATTAATGATCTGATTTTTTGTGCTTTTATCTTTTGGCAGCAACTCAACTTCTATAGTTCTATCTCTACCCATTCTTTGAACATTTGAGCAAAAAAATGTATAGTTATCATATAAATGTCATATTTTTATTTATATTATTTTTTAAACTATGATGTCTCTGTGTATAAATCTGTTGAATAGGTAAGGTATGTTTTATGAGTTAATTTGTAGAAATAATAGTGCTGCTGCGCGCAAACAAAATATAAAAATATACACTATTCATTCACCTCACTTTTTATTATTTATTCTTACCAAAACACTTTTATTATAAATCACTTGTCCAGAAATTATGAAAGAGGAATAGGACATTAGAGATCATACATACCACACATATGTTATGAAATTTCAATGCAAAATATTCTGTGAAGGTACTTTTTTTTTTTTTTTT